GGTAATTGTTGGGAATGAATATTTTAGCCCAGTAAGAATTGTTTATTGATGTCTCATTCCCTTCATATTCTGTGATACTTTATTAATAAAAAAATTAAAAATTTAGGCAGAAAATTATCTTGATATTTGTGTATTTCACTTCAATATACTAAATGCTAGTTACAGTTACAAAGAATATGACTGCTGAAGTTAAAAATTCAGATTATTAGCTTTAAAAAGAGACCAAGCTTGTGAATTTAATCTAAAGGGTTCAACTTCATTTAATTTGTGCGTACTTTTTAAGGCGTTTTATGGTATTTTATGCCCGAAGGTTAAAATCGTTATTGAAAACAGGCCACTCTATAGATGAAGATGCATTTCCTGCCATATCTTGGAAAACTTCTGATCTGCTGTCAGAAGCAGAGCCATCCATGTCTGCACTCATCACGTCAGATTGATATGAGTCTGTAGGTTTCGATCACATAAGCAGCGGAACATGCATCTGTCACAGAGCACGGCTCATTTCGAACAGGGAACTGGGACTTCAGGATATTCAATCTGAAATAAAAGATGCATTCTATGTTTCGACTGTCATCTTCGGTGTGGATGATTTGATCCACATAGACTAAAAGAAATCTTGGCATGACTTGCTTTCTAGTTAAAACAATTCCCCTGCAGGCAGCGCAGCACGAACAGAGACAAATCCACGATTGAAACCCACTCTGTTTATCTGTGAGCTTGAAAGAGGAGCATCTTTGATGTTCTTTTACAGCTTGAAATTCTAATTGTACCATGTCCTCCTGACTTCCAGACGCTTTAGACTTTCTGTGTTGTGTTATCTAATGCTTCACTGAACACAAACACTTAGCACTGCCCAGTTTCAGTGCCGCTATAAAACCACTGCTGATAGTTTTTCACACAAGGTGTCACACTTAAAAGGATCCCTGATTAGTTGTAACATTAGACTTTATTTAATAAACATATATTTTAACTGTAAAATAAAGACTGTAAAAATACTGTAGGCTGTTTAGTTTACTAAATTTTTAAATCATATTTTAATTCGGACGAAGCCATTTTATTTATACACAAAGCATTCTGGGTAAATGATGACGTGGATAGGTCCTCGGTGCGAGGCTGCTAGCGAGCTATATCCACCCTGAAGGTTAATCTTGGACAATATCTGATGATCGACTCTTTTAAATGAAACCAGAGAGCGTTGACAGAGAGGAGAAGGTACCTCAGCTTAGCCTGTTAGCCTTCGCGCTAGCGCCGACACTATATTGCCTTATATGTATTAGCTTTGTGCTAGTGCGACAAACTAACAAGCTAAACTGAGGTCCTCCATCCATATTTTCAGTTCCAGGCTGAGTCATTTCTACCTTCTCCTCTCTGTCAACGCTCTCTGGTTTCATTTAAAAGAGTCGATCATCAGATATTGTCCAAGATTAACCTTCAGGGTGGATATAGCTCGCTAGCAGCCTCGCACCGAGGACCTATCCACGTCATCATTTACCCAGAATGCTTTGCGTGTAAATAAAATGGCTCCGTCCGTGTAAAATATTTTTAAACTTTTAATTTAAAAATGATAAAAACTAAACAGCCTACAGTATTTTTACAGTCTTTATTTTACAGTTAAAATATATGTCTATCAAATAAAGTCTGTTACAACTAATCATGGATCTTTTTAAATATAGTATGCCATTAGAAAGGGAGTATTAATGTTTAAAAATAATTTGCTGTGTTTGTATGTAAACAACTTTAGTTGACTATATTTCAGCATCCATGTTTTCTGTTATTTTATTTTTTTGTGTAGTGTTTTTATCAGAAATTGTGTTGTGGTAAAGCAGGCAGGTTGYGAACTGAAACCTGATGGGGGCTGGCTGTAACTTTGCATGTTGCCTCCGTGACTCCTTGTGGCATTCGAGGTGCTTTGGTTTTGTTCCCAAAGTCTCCGAACCATTTTAAGTTAGCTTGGGATTGTAAATTGCCTCTGCGAGCACGCCTTGTTTTCCGTCTCTCTGTGTTAGTCCTTTGATAGATTGGCAAAGTGTCCGAGGTGTACCTCGCCTCACCTCCAGCTTTCTATAACCCGAGGCACGGTGCGGCGGCTGTATGGACTGATGCCTTTTCTAGATGGAATCTGAATTGCTCCTGCACCTAAACGGGAAGATAACATCCTTTTTGTTGTTTTCAACTCTGCTTTGCTTTTATCTTTAAAAAAATAAAACAYCCATCCCCATGTCAGCTGAAATTTGGTCAAATATAAACCATTTTATTTTGTGAAAGCCTTCGTGTACACAAGACGGCTTTTTGTATGCAATCAGTTCAGGTAGACAAATAGCCCTGAGCTCTGTGTCTCATGCTTATATGACTATGATTTGATTCAGGATGTCATTTGAGATCCATAACACAGCCTGAATTGGATCATGTCCCAAGTTTGCCTCTCTAGGACGATGCTCTGAGAGTCAGCCCAATTGTACACAAACAAATAGTAACCAAAGAAATGAATAACGGCATTGACAAATAAATAAATCCAGCTGGTTTTATGCATTATAGAGGAAAGACATGTCAGATAGGTTGAATGTCTGAGGCAGACCTCTTCAACCACCATCATCAAAACACCAGCTGAATACATATTCTGTTTTTAGTGACTTGTGTTTATTTTTCAGCAAAGGGCAAACACTGAATTAGTGTTCTTTTTATGAATTGCACAGCGTGTGATCAAAGCGTGCATCAGCCTTTGGGAGCCGTGGCTAATGGAGACTCTCATTATGAATGACCGAGAGCAGGKCTCAGGTTTGAATTGCCTGAAGGATGAACAGAAAAAAAACCCACTTTGTCACTAATGTCTCCTGTTGGCTTTGTTCCTCCAGGTTTTGATGACCGGGACACAGACCTGTTCCTGTGCGACACCAACACTTGCAAGTTTGATGGGGAGTGCCTAAGAATTGGGAACATGGTGACGTGTATCTGTGACTTTAAGGTAAGACTCCTGATTCTTGTCACACTGCAGGATTGGTTTAACGAGTTGACAAAAAGCACCTAATTAAAAATCTACTATTTGATTTTTTTTCTATGTGTTGAAAGGGTTGTAGGTCTTTTATTATTACTTTTAGTTTTATAATTTTAAAACCTCTACCATTCAGTATAATTCAGCTGTAACTAAAATAAKGTGGTAGTTTTTATATGTTAAATAGAAGTCTGGGAGCTGAAATCTAGAACCAGATTCTTTGGAGACCGTGAGGTGTTGAATGTCATTGAGCTTCACTTGATTTGACAGGGATTTTTGAAAACGACTTTACTGTCTTGGGTTCTTCATTCAGCAGCTTTGTATGTTTTGTTTTTATTATTCTTATTATTGCAGTGTATTGTGGTTCTGGGCCAGACATGTTTAGATGAGTATTGAACATGAAAATCCATAAAGACCTGGACACAACCGGAATACTCAACTACAATGACAGGATCAGTATTTGTCCTGTCTGTGGGTTTAATACAGTGTCTCATTTTGTGTTTGTTTATCCGTACCATCAGCAAAATATCTCATGCATTAAAGATGGATTTTAATGGAATTACAACTTGTAGTCAAATTCAAGATGGCCACCACAGTTCATTGTTTATAAATCAGTCAGTTTCAAAGGTCATGAGCTAAAAGGATGCGGTAGTTATTGAGAGTCATCTTCTACTATGCTGATCGCTAGCATATCTCATGAGACCTTATAATGTACAAGAGTTGACTAAAAGGTCTGTAACTTTGGTATTTCTTATGATACTGTAATTTTATGGGGTGCCATTTGTAAAGTTACACAGTCAAAAATTACCACCAGTATTTTTTCTTTTATTTAGCCTTTTAT